CTCTCTCTCCCCACCCCCCTCTCTCTCTCCCCAACCCCCTCTCTCTCACACTCCCTCTCTCTCTCTTTCCCATCCTCTGTGTTTTGCCATTCGGATGTAATGTCCTTCCTCCCCGAGTCAGCTGAGTTGGGAAGAGGCCAGCACAGGAAATCCTGTGGTTTGTTTTGGGATGACTGGAACATTCTAGAAGCTCGAGTCAGCCATGCAGCATAGGGTTCCAGTCCCCGTCTGCCTTCCACACAACAAAGAGCTGCTCGAACCCTTCCAGAATGTTCCAGAATTTATCGGGTCACCCCCACCCCTCCTACCCCCCTCCCCTCACCACCCTAACCCCCCCACCAGACCCGCTATCGGGGAGACAACAGCATTTCCCCAGAGCTGAGTAACAATAATTATCTGCATTCCTGTAGCGCCTTGTAATGTAGAGACACTCCCCAAGGTCCTTTGGCACAATTAATTCAGGGCCTGGTGATTACAAAGAGTGCCTTAAAGAATGAGAGAGACCGACAGAGAGAGAGAGAGAAAGAAGGGAGGGAGAGAGAAAGGGAGAGAGAGAGAAAAAGGAAGAGAGAGAGAGTGAGCAAAGGAGACAGAGACAGAGAGAGGGAGAGGAGAGAGAAAGGTGACAATAGGAGAAAGCGAAGGAGATGGAGTGACAGAGAAGTGGGGAGTGTGAGAGGGTGACAGAGGAGAAAATGAAAGGTGAGAGTGAGAGAAAGGAGCACAGAGGAAAAGAGAGGGGGGAAAGGAGATAGACAGAGAGAGAAACAGACACAGAGAGAGAAAGGAGAAAGATAGAGGTGGGGATGGGGAAGAATGGAGGAAATGAAATAGGAGGGCGGATGGAGAAAGGGGACAGAGGGAGCAGAAAGGTTGAGGGAGAGAATCCCAGAGCTCAGGGCCCAGGGAGCTGAAGGCAACGTGGTTAATGATGGAGAAATGGGAATCAGGGAATAGTCAGGAGGGTGGGATGGAGGAGTGTAGAGAGATGGATGTAGGGGCCGGAGGGGGTTACAGAGTTAGAGAGGGGTGTAGGGGATGGAGGGGGTTACAGAGAAAGGGAGGGGTGTAGGGGCTGGGGTAGGACCTCGTTAAACTTCATTCCTCCACCATTCACCTTTCCTAGGGGATTCTGAACCCCTGGATATTGGTTCAAACATTGATTGGTCTGTCTTCAGTTGTTTTCTGTGGGTTTACACAGTCCCTGGGGCTGAAAAGCCTGTCTGGCTCTGACAGAGTACCGCTCTGTCTATGTATCTGTCCACATTAGACTCAGAGAAAGTCAGGCTTTCCATATGGTACTCTCTCTCAGTCCCTCCTCCGGGTCTGAGATTCCACGGACAATGGAGATCAAATCTTCCTCTTTCTGAGGCCATTCAGCCCATTCTGTCAGCACCGACCCTTTAAAGAGGATCCCATCCCTCCTATCCCTCCCTGTAACCCTATATATCCCACGGCCAACCCACCCTAACCTGCACATCCCAGGGCAGTATGGGACAATTTAGCACGGCCAATCCACCCTAACCTGCACATCCCTGGACACTATGGGACAATTTAGCACGGCCAATCCACCCTAACCTGCACATC